CAAAGAATTTAATTCCAAAGATCCCTTATGTTACAATGGAGTGCCAGGATGTCCCAGGTGCCATGACACCCATGTGCATTCTTTGTTCAAGGGGAAGTCAGCTCTGTACCATGTGCTATGTAGCCCCCTGTAAAAGGAATCTGTGGTAGAATGTTCATTACAAGTATGCTTAAATAGATTGAGAGATCAGGAAGCCCTACATAATGGACCTAATCCAAAACCCATTGAAGGAAATGAAAGCATCCTGCCTTCTACTTAAAAATGAGCAATGCTTTGACTTTGCTGGCATCTGGATCAGGTGAAGGGACCAATGGAATAATGCTAATAAGAGGCTGGGGAGGTGATCTCTCTACTGTCTTCAAACTGCATCTCCTCAAAACTGCATCTCCTCAGTGCTCCTCAAGAATATTTACTCTAGATTTGTGCTGAGTAAGGATGGCTGAAGAGAGATGATATGAAAGCTGTGATAATCTATAATGCTTTCAATCTGATTTATGCTTTTCAAATGCTAATAACAGTTTTCAAAATCTGTATTTTAGATGACATACTTTTATTCATTAGAATTGCATATTCTGGGAATTTTGCCAGAAAACAAAATTGTTCCAATTATTAATTATAGTTCACCATAATTTAGTTTATTGATTCACCCTCATTTTAAACCTTCCTTCTGATCTTTTCTGTTTCATTAGCTTCTGATTATGCGCCTCTTCGTTTGCTAGAAATGCAGTTTTAATAGGTTTCAGGTCATGCACAGCAATTTTTTATATGTGCAATATGAATGTAGTGAACACCCTTCATCCCATGCTTGAGAAATATTTGTGCATGGATTTGTGCAAAGCTCTGTATGTTTTACTTTACCCTGTAGGCAAAATCAAATCAGCAGCATCAGTCAGTATACTACTTGTCGTTTACTCTTCTATACCCTTTCTCCTTTTTTAAGTAGGTCTCAGAGTATAATCTATGAGGACAATAATAATAATTTATTTTTAGTTTCAAGGATCACAGTACAATCCACCCTGACATGTTTTAATTTAGTGTTGAAAAAAACCAAGATTTAATTTTTTTAATGCATTATATTAGAGATGTAACATGGAAAGAATGCTCACAGCTCTTTGAACTGACATTGTGCATTTTATTTTTTCCTACTTGAAAAATGTAAATGAATTACTTGTTCACTTGTGACAGTCTGGTGAGATTTTGAACAACACTGCTGGGACACTGAGCACCCTCAAGTCTCATTGACTTCTTGATCGAACACTTAAAGAACAAAAACTAAGAAAACGTGGGACATATTTGTCTATAATGTTTCTCAGATGCAGACTCTCAATATTAATAAAACCTCCAGTGTCTGTTAGTAATGTAATTCTTAAAACTTTAAGAAGAATATCTTTGGGTTAAATTGGGATGATAGTCATAGCCCTGAGCATCTGTATAAAATGCATGGAAACAGGAGTAGCTCTAAAAGGTATGGGACTATGTTTAGAGGAGCCACAATCCCTCCCTTACTTTCTCATTTCATCCAGGAATCATGGTAATTTGTTGCCGAACTATACAAACTTTAACTGTGCTGTA